AAATTTAATTAAGAAAACCGTTATAGAGTAAGGTTTTTATATAGTAAAAATTTGGTTTCTGATTTACAGTGCGTTATGGAATGGGGACCGTTATAGAGAGTGTGAACTGTATATTAGCAAAAACCCATTGGTTTGACAGGCTGTTGAATAGTCAAATATTTTTTTAATGGAGCAAATAAATTTTTTTAGTTTAATTATCATTCTACTGACCAGTTTACAGTTTACACTTGTGTTTAACGTCAAGACACAGTAAGATACAAGGTTTGAAAAAAAGGACCAAAAAACCAAATCTGCTGACATGCAAATAATAAATTTTCATTATTATATATTTGCTTGCTAAATAATAATAATAATATTATTATTCAAATATTTAATCATTAATAATAATAATAGTCATAGTATTGTCTAAATAATAATTAACCAACTTATAAATTTTGTAATTGTAATATTTAGGACTTAAGTCCGGTCCGGTCCCAAGATAGGACTGCCAGTCCTGGACTGTTTAGGGCCAATTAACATCTCTAATTGGATCAAAACCACGTGTAACATAACAGGGACCGTTACTCAAAAAAATTTATTATGTTCCTAACCACGTTTTGCTGATAAATCAAAGACACGATAAATAAGGTTAGAAGGCTTATGTAAACAAATTTCTATAACATCGCATAAAATAATTTAAAGAAAGAAAGCCTAATTAAAAAATACTTGATTCAGAAAATATTAATATTGATTAAACTTTTTGTCCACCATATTACCATTCACCATTTTTGCCGAATATCCTTTTTTGGAAAGGCTATTTTTATTGGATGTGTAAAAAATCAACTTTATCCACGTGACTATAATGTTAATATATTATTTTTCTTTTGCTATATTAGATTTACAAAATGGTTATAATAATTATAATAATACAAGCTGTATATAATAATGATTATTGTTATCATTAGTCAATGTTATTAGTGTAACGAAAGATTAAAAAAAACTGGCTTACCAAATATATTATGTTTATTTAATTAACGTTTCTGCTACTACCATTTCACCACATTCCCTTCAAAACCATTACTGCTACCTACATTATTAACACCACCATTAATGCTACATTTTTGCATTTCATTAATACGACATTTTAAATCTTGTACTAATAATTGCAATTGAACATTTTCAGCCGTTTTTATTTCAACCCAATCCAATTTATTTTTCATTTCTTGGACCATTCTATGTAAATTAGCATTTTCTTGTTCCAATCTCGTAGCTTTACTTTCCAAATTTAGTATATAAGACTTTTTTCTTTCACGGCATTCTTTTGCCGCAACGCGATTACGTTCAAGCCTCATTGCACGTTTTCCATCATAAGTTTGTTTATTTATATGACTGACATCGCTATCGTTACTAATATCTGTGGTTGTAGTTGTAGCAGATATTGGAGTAGGGTTTAATGTGGGAGTAGCAATAGGTGAAATGGTTGTTTGATTAAAATTGCTGTTATATTGTTGACAATGATTACGTGAAAGAGAACGAGGAGGTGATGGTGATGTTGTAAAAGGCTGTAATGGTGATTGTAACTGTGATTGTTGTTGTTGACTATTAGTTGATTCGTATTGACGTGATGTTGTTGATGTGGTAGGTGGAAGTGGTGGAGAAGATAGAAGAGGTGGCGAAAGTATTGTTGATGTAGCAATAGTATTAGTAGTAGTTTGTGTCCCGAAAATAAGAGGAAATCGTTGTCGATGTTTATATGAATGACTATGTGGATCATGACGAGATCCACTAATATTATCAGTGCTATGAGATTCTTGACCTAAAAAAGGTGAAGTTAATGTGTTGACGCCGGTTGAATGAATGTGAACATCAGTTGTTGTGCTATTATTGTTGTTATTTGTATATGATAATGTCAGTGGCTGTTGTAATTTTTGTTGTGACACTTCTTGTTCTTGTTCTTCTTCTTCTTGTTGTTGTTGTTGTAGTATTTTTATCCGTGGTAGAGTTGTTAGTAATTGAGGTGATGATCGTAATTTTTGGCATTTTTTCTTTTGTGGTGATTGAAGATGTTGTTGATTCATAATTTATTTTATCATTTATTAAAAATATAAAAATACGCGCAAAAAGTGTTTGACAAATTTTTTTAAAAAAAAAAAAAAATTTAAAAAAATTTTCGTCAACACTAACCTAAAAATCATTATTAATAGTAATTATGTAATATTATATCATTTTTCGTATTAATTACAGATTTTAATCTTCACTAGATATGATATTTTTCAATCGGTTTTTAAATATATTAACAGAGTGAGTGTTATGTAATTTTAATCGGGAATAATGACTAATTATGATAAATCAAAGTGACCTTAATTAATTTATTAATATTAATATTTGTTCATCAAAATAAATGTGCAAGTTTATATCCTAATTCAGAAACCCAACTTGATGATCAATTCAACAAACGGTAACACGTTGTGCATATTAAAACAATATACAAAATTACTCAATTTGCCATAATATATAAATAATAATAATATAGTATGGTTTCAATCATAAATATATACTTCTTTTTAATTGTGAAATAATTTTTCTTTTTTTTTTTTTTTGTAAAAAAAAAATCACATTTATTACAATAACAAAAATAAAAAAACAAAAAAATTTTTTTTTAAACTTTTCCTTCCGAAAAAAAAATATTGACGAAAAAATAAAATCTTTACGAACTTCAAAAAACATATTATATATAATTAAAACAAAATTCTGAAACGAAACAATAAATACAAGCCCCAAATTTTTTTTCAAATAATAGCTACTTTATCGTTACCCACTTAATCCACTCAAATTCACCCAATCTACTTGCTAATTCTCGCTACTAATCCTAATATTTTTTTCCTTTAAGCACCAACAGCGCCAATAATAATAATAATAACAACTTTTTTCAGTAGTCATATTAATTTTAATTAATTCGGCGTCTTAAAAAAAATTTTTTTCACATCTAAATGAGAAAAACCATTTTTAATAATATCAACAACCAATAATTATAACTACTCCTTTTAAATAAATCATTTAAGATTATTCACACAACTCGACTCAAAAATTTTTTTGTATTATATATATTGTAAGATCTATTCTCCTTTCCTTATCCAACAACAAAAAAAAATTATAAGAGAAAAAGATAATAATTAATAAAAGCTAGGAATCATCAATTACATTTTCATCTAAGCAAATAAAGATAGACTGGTATAATCGATTTAGTTAAGATATATAAAATATATATTTCAAAAACAAACAATTAAAAATTTAAATTTAATTTATTTATGAATCTTTTTATGTTTGCAAAATATTGCAACATAATTAAAATAATTAGATCTTACAATAATAGAAGCTCAGTAATAATAGATAATTTTTAATTAATAGAAAATAATATATATATAGAACATTTTGATTTTTTGAATTAAAATAATGCCAATTAATCCAATCTCACAAACTGCGGCTCAATTATTATATAGATCAAAGAAATTTGTTTCAAAATTAAATAAAAAATATAATATAAAATGTAATAAAAATAATAATAATAAAAATGAAATGAAGAATAGTAAGAATAATAATAATAATAATAATAATAATAATAATAATAGTGGTGGTGGTGGTGGTGGTAGTAGTAGTAGTAGTAGTAATAGTAATAATAGTAATAGTAATAGTAATAGTAATAGTAGTAGTAGTAGTAGCAGTAGTAATAATAATAATAATAATAATAATAATAATAATAGTAATAATAATAATAATAATAATAATAATAATAATAATAATAATAATAATAATAATGGCAGTGGTAATAGTAATAATAATTATAATATTAATATTAATACTAGAAATGGTAATGCTAGAAATAATAATAATATCAGTAGTAAAAATAACAACAACAATAATGATAATTTCATAAATAATGATGAAATTTTACAAATTAAAGATCCTTGTCATCATTTCAAATTAGGTGAATTCTATTTATTTGGTAGCAATGGTAGGATCAAAGATGAATCAATAGCTTTCAAATGCTTTCAGCAAGCTGCTTTATTAAACCATGCTGAAGCTCTAGGTGTGCTAGCATTTTGTTATGAATTTGGTTTAGGTGTAGAAAAAAATTTCAAACAAGCTGAACTACATTACATTCCTGCTGCTGAAAATGGTAATGGCTTGGCTCAAGCTAGGCTTGCTTTTCTAAGAAAATATGGTAGACCTTCTGTGCATATTGATCGTTCTGAAGCTGAAATGTGGCAACAAAAAGTAAAAGATCAAGGTAAATATGCTATATCTTGGCTATTTGATGCTGCTTCCTTAGAAAATCATCCTGCTGCCCAATACTCTTTAGGTGTTTGTTATCATGATGGTGTTGGTGTTGAGAAAAATGAATTTGAAGCTTTCAAATGGTATAAAAAATCAGCTGAGCAAGGTCATCCACGTGGTCAAGGTATATTAGGCTTTTGTTATGGTGAAGGTTTTGGTGTAAAAAAAGATGAGGTTGAAGCTATGAAATGGTATCTCAAAGCTGCTGAACAGGGCGAGTCTGTTGCCATTTATAATGTTGGTTATTGTTATGAAGATGGTATAGGTGTCAAAAAAGATGTTATTGAGGCTGTTGGTTGGTATCGTTTGTCTGCTGAACAAGGAAATGCATTTGCTCAAAATTCCTTAGGTTATTGTTATGAAGATGGTATAGGCGTTGAACAAAACCCTTTAGAGGCTGTCAAATGGTATTGTAAATCTGCTGAACAAGGTTATCCTTGGGCTGAATGTAATTTAGGTTATTGTTATCAGAATGCAATAGGTGTAGAAAGGGATGATGTTCAGGGTGCTTACTGGTATAAAAAAGCTGCTCTACAAGGTCATGCTCGTGCTCAGCATAATCTTGGCTTTTGTTACCAGAATGGCATAGGTGTGGAAAAAAATGAAATGGAAGCTGTCAAATGGTATACAAAATCTGCTGAGCGTGGAAATATATTTGCTTATCATTCACTTGGCTATTGTTATCAAAATGGTATAGGTGTGCTTGTGAATGAAGAGGAAGCTGTCTATTGGTATTTCCTGTCAGCTGAAGAACACCATGCTCCTGCACAATTAAGTCTTGGTTATTGTTTTAGAAATGGTATAGGTGTTGAAAAAGATGAGAAAGAAGCTGTCAAATGGTTCACTTATGCTGCACGACAAGGCAATGCATTAGCACAAAATTCTTTGGGTTATTGCTATGAAGAGGGACTTGGTGTTGAAAAGGATGAGAAAGAGGCTGTTTATTGGTATAAGTTATCTGCTAGTGCACAAAATCCATGGGCACAATGTAATTTAGGATTTTGTTATGCTAATGGTATAGGCATTGAAAAGGATGAGGTTATGGCTGTTAAATGGTATAAAATAGCTGCTGTTCAAAACCATGCAAGAGCACAAGATAAATTAGGTATTTGTCTTCAATTAGGTATAGGATGTGAGAAAGATGAATCTGTTGCTTTAGAATATTTTAAAATGGCTGCTGATCAAGATCATCTTGCAGCAATGTATCATTTAGCAAATGCTTTAGAAAAAGGCATTGGGTGTGATCCGGATGTTGAGGGTGCAACCTATTGGTTTGAAAGAGCAGCAACTTCAGGTTGTAGGACCAGTTGTGAAAGATTGAAAAGATTATTGGTACAAGAGTGCTTAGGAAAAGATGGCAATGATAATCATGTTTATTCATCTGGATATTATGCTTCAGCTGCATAAAAAAAATTTAAAATTGACTACAACTTAGTAATAATAATTATAATAATTTGTTTTAATTTTATTAATTTAAAAAATTTTTTTTCAAAAATGACTTTGTTAAATATACATTTAAATTTTTATAATAATAAAATTTGTGATATTATTATTATTTGCTTTGTTTTTCTATATTAAAGCTAGTCTAAATGAGTTTGTTGGGCAAGCTTATTCTTGAAATGGTTATTTGGTGGATAATAGTTTTGCTTTTTTTAATGATGCTTTTTTTGAGCAAATAAACAATTAAACCATGCATTTAGAAAATAAAAGAATATTCATCATATGAAATAATATCCTGTTTAAAAGATTTACAAACATCTTTGAAAAAATAAAAATATAAACTGCATTCTTCCAGGTACAGACTGTCAATAAAAATAATCAATAATAATAATAATAATAATTAATTATATAAATTTTTATTGATATATCAAGACTCACTCTTTTGACAAATGTCAAATTGAAATATATATCAATTTTTTTAATTCCTTAAACAAAAATTACGTCGCAATTTTTTAAAAAAATGTAGACCCTACTAGACAAAAAATTATTAAGTGACCCTTATTTTTTGATAGAAAAGGTCATGAAATTTATGTATGAATATTCATTTTAAAAAAATTTTTTTTTTAGAAGTTTTATTAATACCGAAATAAGTGTATTTTTCAACCCTGGGGCTCATAGATATAAATTATGTAATTTGATCTGCTTAACAAGTCTTGTTAATAGTGTATGCATATTAGCTAATAATTTTAGGGGGTTATGAGGTCTACGTAACCATATCGCAAATTTTTATATTAATAAAAAAAGATCTGCATTATTTTTATAACAAAAAAAAAAAACTTTTACGTTTTACACATATTTGTGATATGCAACCCCCAACGAAATTTTTTTAATGGAAATAAGGTGGTGTTTGAATAACATTTTATTAAATAAGAAAGGTTGTGGTGAGACTGCAGAAAAGACTTTTTTTGTAATTTATGAATCACAATTGCAAATTGCGTCCAAATCTGGACGCAATTTCGAGGGATAATCCACTCCAAATTGTTTCTAATAAATAACTTTTACAAATATAATATTTTGATTTGTTTAAAAAAAGCCTGGACTTTTTTCTAAGGACTTAAGACAAACCAGTCTCAAGACAGGACTAACAGTCCCAGGACTAGTCCACTTATCTGAATGACTCTTAATTTGAATTGTTTGATCCAAATGATTCATTTGATCCATTGATTCAAATCATTTGTTTAATTATTCAATTATTGCTTTTATTTGGATTGTTGAAATCTTCATTTTATTCAGTTTGCCTGAATTATATAACAAACCTAATGTTAACTTTATATAATAATAATAAATAATTCACAAAACTGATAAGAAAGACTGAAACAAGATTCATAACTTGACACTGGTGTCCATTATTAGTGATGATAAAATATTTTCTGGAATGATTCAAAATTATATTGTAGCCATCATATTCATCTAATGCTAAACCATCAACTTCTGAGTAATTATGCTTCTCTTAAATCAATAGAAGCCATATTTGTTATTAAATTGTTCTGTTCTTCAGACTCGATAGAATGTAGGGATCATTATCAATTCCAACTATTTGTAAATTATAACTAAGATGCTACCCCTTTTATAATTTCCTATTAATGAAAATAATATACTATTGTTGCTATTACCACTACTAACTATTATTAATTTTCAACAAAAAAAAATTAGTGTCTCAATTTGATGATGATGTTATTTTGTAGCTTGATAATACAAAGGATTCAAATTATCATTCAATATTCAAAATTAAAGGAAATCATATGATTTAGGCACACCTCTAGAATCAAATGTGATTGACACAAATTTGTTGCTATGTCTGATTAAAAAAAAAAAATTTTTTTAAAAGATGGATAATTTAACAATATTAACCTCAGGAAATCAAATATATGCTAAAAAAAGAGAAAGAAAAAAACAACAAGTTGAAAAAATAGTTTTTGACGAAAATGCTAGACGGTTAGTTATATTTTGTAAATTAAAACAGCACATTTATTTTATTATTTATTTTAATAAATTTTATGAAAATTAAGTGAATATTTAACAGGTTTTCATAAAAGAAAGTTGGAAAGAAAGGCAAAGGCAAAAGAAACAGCTATAAGACTTGCAAAAAAAGAAAGATCTGAACTTAGGAAAACTGTATGTTTGTATATATATAGGCATATAAATATATTGTGTATCTCTATATGTTTTTAAAATAAAAAAAAGCTCATCAATGAATTTTATTGAATAATTAGACAAAAGAAGCAAAAATAAAAAAAATTGCAGAGTTTTATAAAACAACTGAAAGTGTGTAAGGAAGGAATTGAGTTTATTGGTTTATATATACATATGGATTTTTAACAAAACAAATTTGTAAAGATAATTTATTTGTACTTAATAGATTCAATTATATCATCATCATCAAATGTTGATGAAAACTTACAAAACAAGGTTGATGAATATGTGGAAGAAGAGAAAAATGTGAAACAAGAAATAGAAATGAAAAAATCCGAATTTAGAACACCTGAAACATTGACAACAGTTACAATAATCAATGATTTAGACATTTGTAATTTTTCTTCGATATCAGAGAGTGAATATTCTAAAAATATTGAAAAGGTTATGGAGGTTGATAATAACAAATTATCAAGTAAGAAGAAAAAGTCAATGAATAATGAAAAAATCAAAAAAAGGGTTCATCCTATTAAAATTAAAAGATTTATAAAATCATCTCATTCCAAAAAATCAAATAGAAAAAGAATAAAGAAAAAAAATGGTAATTAATTGGTGTTATTGTTGTTATTGTTATTGTTATTGCTATTTTATGTTTAATAAATTTTTTTGTTTTATTGTTATTTTAGATTGATTTAGGAAAATATTAGTAAGTATAAACATGCATGTTGAAAATTAATCAATTACTATTTTATGGTGGAAGTTTTGTGCATATGAAGATCTACCAAGAATAATGTTATGATAATCTAAATAAAAAAACCAAAATTTTTTTAAATGAATCCAGAGAATTGGATGTCTAAAGGAAAGTAAAAAAAAAAGCACTATATGTGAACTAAAGGTTAACTAATGTATATAAACTAATGTATATAAACTATTATATGGGGCATACTGCAACAAAACCAGACAAAGTGAACATTGGTATTACCAAAGGTTTCAGGGATCAAAATTTAGTAATGTGATTATTAAAATCCCCCATTTGTTATATTTGTTTTTTCTTAATATTTAGTGATATATAGAATTACCTCTATATAAAAATAGTTAATATGAAACTTGTTTGCATCAGATCTACCATGGAGCCCAAGAATTATAGTACTATCAGAAATATTTTAAAAAAGGAACTAGAGTACGCAAATATGCTGGTCGCCAGGATTTTTTTTTTCTAATTTTATTTTTTTTTTCTAGTTAAAAAATTTGGCAAGATTTTAAAATTTAATAAATAA